CCTGTCGCTTGCCAGGGAATAAAGCGTGGCTGAAAAGCAAAAGCACCTCAAGAGATGGGTGCTGCTGGGCCAGCAGGGATCGGGCAGAGAATCTGGAGTGGGATCAGTCCCACGTATCCAGCAGCACCTGGACAGCTGCAGCCCTTTGCCATGCCACAGAGACTCCTGCCAGACGTGGGCAGCCTTCCTGGAGCATCCCAGTGCCAAGCCCACTTGCCCCACGGCCACCTCTGCTGCTGTGGAAGGGAAAGCAGCCTGGGAGCATCTGCAGGGTGAGAGGTGACGTGGCGGGGAGCAGCTCTTCCTCCTTTGAGGTTAAGCGAAGGCTTTGAGGAAGCAGCTGAGGTTTGCAGATGTTATGTCACAGCTCCACGCGCCTTCGGGGCTTTGCTTCCTGGAGTGCGGCTGCGTTTCCAGCCCGTCACCCTTCCCTGGCCTCTTGCGCACAGAGTCCTGGTGTGACACAGGCTTCCGGGCACCCCGGCTCCTCTGGGGTCAGGCAGGGGCCAGGCAGAGTTGACCCAGGCCTCTGCGTGGCCACCAGCATGGCCCCCCAGCCTCCCTGAGGCACATGGACATGCAGCCTGTCCCTTTCCTCGCTGCTGCCCAGCAAGGAGCAGTCCCAACCTTTGTGTGGGAGCTGGACATTGCCAGGGCCTCAGGATCTGCATCATACCCTCTGCATCCCACCCTTCCCTGGACAGCATCCCCCTGTCCCAGGCATCCCCCTGGGTCTTGGTGCAGAGGTCCTCTCGCCCAGGGAGGGCAGCTCTGGGGCTTGGATCCTGCCCTGGCCTCTCGCGTTGTGGCACGGCATAGTTGGAGGAAGGAGGGATTTTGCCCCTGGCTGCCCACTTTCCAAGCTGTTAATGATTATCCCGACTTGCTGCCTTCTACCCACAGCCACGGGAGATGGTTCCCCCCTCTTCCTGCAAGCAGGCAGTGATCGCCTCACCCTGTGGCTCAGGGCTTTGAGAAGATGATGGAATACAGCCGTAAGTGCCTTGCACTGGGGGGTGTCTGTGACGGGGGGCAGTGGGTGGGGTACACCCTGTCACCCTGGGGTCCTGCCCTCACCCTGCACAGGGCTATACCCTTTGTGGGCATCCCCAGGTGCCCCAGCTGGGGCTCTTTGTGAGACCATGCCCCACTCCCAGCTGCTACTCTTTGCCAGGAGGTGGCAGTTGGAGGACACAACCCCTTGGGCACCTTGCCAGGGATGGACACCCCTATGTCCAGGGTGATCCTGTCCCTTGGGCTCCCAGTGCTACCAGTTCAGCCCCAGCTGTGGCATGGGCAGGCATCACACCTACCCCGTGCGGGTGGGGAGGATGAGCGGGGGCATGGCAATGAGCCGTCTGTCGCACAAGGAGTCACGTCTGCTGGAGCTCCTCTGCTTTCTCCCTGGGAACCAGTTAAACCAGTGGGTGAGGAACAGTGCCTGGCCTCGCTGTGGCATGGGTGGTGAGGTGGCTGTGTCACCAGGAGAGGAGGGGACGGGCAGGACGTGCCAGGCTCCAGCACACACTGGGCTATACTGCAGCAGCTCCCAGTCTGGACCAGCCGTGAGCAGCTCCTGTGGCATGGTGCTGGATGCCAGGAGATGGACCCCCGGCAAGGTGAGTAGGTGGCATTTCTCTCCCCATATGGGGCATTGGCGGAATGTTTTATGGCATGGGTAGTGGCTTGGTAACCCTCCCTTCCTCTCTGCTGTCTGTGGAGCTGCTGTGGCTCTGCCTCGAGCAGTGATGCTTGGAGGCATCTCGCTGGGATGTGAGGGTATCTGCTTCTGAGGGTGTCAGGGCAGGGAGTGCCTCCCACGTGTGGCACGGGGCCGGGGCTGGCATGAAGCCACCATCCTCCCACCAGCAGTAGGTGTGGGGAGAGGGCAGTTTCGGTCGCCAGCTGATTCAGGGAGGCTATTACACCACGTTTCTCCTGCCCCACAGCTGCTGCTGCCTGAGTCACTCCTGCACAGACTCCTGACCTCACCCACACTGCCTCTGCCAGGTGGGGGTCCCGGGGCTCCAAGCCCACCTCTGGCCTGGCAGAAGCAGGGGCACTGACTGCCCACATATCCTGGCCTCCCGAGCCCTGCTATGAGGGCTCATCAGGAGGGAAAAAGCAGGCAGGTCCTGCTCATCTGCCGCATGACGTGGGAGCTGGCAGTGCGATGCTCAGCGGCTCCCCGGGTGTTTGCTGGGTCCCATCAGGTAGAGCAAGTGCTGCGGGTTGCAGGGTGACCCAGGACGTTGCTCACTATGTAAACACTGTGACCACAGGGGAAATGCTCTCACTCCACCGGCATCTGTCTAAATTTAGCTGCTGTTAGGTCACCCTTTTCCGCTGTCTCCTCGCTCCTGGTGCTGCAGGGCACAACACCCTGTGCCGGGCGCTTGCCCCAAGCCCTCTGCGTGTGCAGGGGAGGGAGCACTGTGGGGCTGACCATGCTCTGGGGCAGTGGCCAAAGCCAGCTGTCCCCTCCTGGACAGAGTTGTGCCCACCACAACCCCTGCCTGTGTTCTGCTAATGGGCTGCACTGGGAAGTACTGGGCAGCCGACTGATCAGGGAGGCTGTGTGGGGATGTGGGTGTGCAAGAGGCTGTGGTGCCTGTGAGATGGGCTGACGCTGGAGCCTGTTGTGACAGTGGAGAAGGGTCTGGGACAGCATTTGTGCCAGGGTTTGGGGGAGCAGGGGCTGGTGGCAGCTGGAGAGGGGTGTGATCAGCAGCCCTGTCCTGAGATGAGATCAGCATCGTATGAGATCTGTGCTGTGCAGC